ATCTATCCATTGATTTGTCAGTAGTTGCGATGAAGTCAGTGGAAGTACTCTGTGTTTTAGTCGGGGTTTTAGTGACCGATTGGACGGTAGTATCACTGGATGTGTTGGTTGTGGTAACTGTGGTGTCTTCACCGGAATTATACAACTCAGTGAACACTTGTCTTAAAGTATTTAAATGTTGTCTCAAATGTCTATTAATTGCCACCAACTCCTCGTTACTTGCTTTCAGTTCATTGAACTTCTCGTGGCTTTGGGTGACATCGGAACCGATGTCTTGAGTTTCAAGTCTTTTGAGTGTTTGCTTTAAATCAATGTTTTTGTTATGAATTTGTGTTAATTTGAGTTTCAATTCCTCTCTGTCTTCAGACAATCGCCGGATAGCCATGTCTTTGAAGGCAACCATTTGTCGCAATTCGTGACATGAGTGGCAACTCTTGCGGATATTCACGCCATCACTGGTCTCATCGCATGAGTCCATCGAAAGACATATTTTGGGACTTTTCTGGACATAAGAAGTGAGTGAATGATGGGATCAATTGTTCGGATGCCAACAAATACCTCGTGATTGTATGGTTTGATGGATACGATGACCCGTTTGTCTGGACTCAATGTGACGGACATCTGGACAACTGATTGCAGCAACTCTTGGACTCAATGACCACTGAATGGCAAAAGTTATGACAGTTTTGTGGCAAATGTTTGTTTGAATGCTTCGTTGGGTTAGTGTTCAGTGAATGCCATCTATTGGCTACTCATTCATGTCTCGCATATATTCTGTCAATCAATCGGTTATTGATTTTCACAAAACTTTTAATCATTACAAAGTTTCCAATCATTTGATCATTTTATAAAATATTAATTTAATTTTGATTGGATAACAATTTATGATTATGTAATTTTAAATGTAGACTATATTATATGTATATTACTGATTTATACTAATGGTATTATCTTTATTACAACGTTAACAAAATTATTTGTATTATAAATAGTTTTTATTTAAAAATACTGCAAATTATAGTTTTATAAGTTTAAATATAATTGTACTGTTTCAATTCTAAACATATGAAATCAATAGTTTATAAGCCAGTAAAATAGAAATTACATTTTACTTGTCAATCATAACTGGGAAACAAAGAATCAATTTATGAAACATATAAAAGAATTTTATTAAAAACTTAAAAACCCATAAAAGTATTGAGTAAAAGATTTTCTTAATATAACTTGTCATATTAAGAATGTTCAATATGTCATGTTATATAATAGTCAATAATAATAATAATAATAATATACTGTAAATATAAAACATTTGTCTAAAAAGATTTTTTACATTTGACGTCAAAATTGTTGAATTCATAAATTCATAGCTCCCAGTCCTCCCGGAGTTCCAAAGAGTTTTGTTATATTGTATAATATTATATATAGTATATATTATATACTGTATAGACTTACTAGTTATGGTAGATTCATATATAATTTATAACCCATTTATAGCTCTCAACTCAAAACAAGTGAATCGATTCCCATATATTCCTCCACTTTATGTCTCAAAACTTTTATTCTTAAGA